ACTTTAATATTCAATCGTATAGAGCACGCTAGCCCCGACTGCGATCTACCCCTGGCGTAGCTCGCGATTGTAGGTAATTATTTCACGCAGGTATCAAGAGTGACAGAGGCCTGGTACCGTAGACAAAAAAGTAATCATGTTTATATTTTTTAATATTTATATTTTTAGTAAAGTTAAATAATAACAGTGAATATATACGTATCAGATAAAATAAAATCTTTTTTATAGCTTTATAATCGCTCGAGTCTGTGTCACTATTATCAGATCAGTCTCTCTGCCCACCACTGACCTCTATATATACAAGTAAGCTGGACTGGCTATAGTTCGCTCCCTTTCCCCTAAAGGGGGTCGCTTCCGATTGGGCAGAAAGGCCATACAGGCCAAAGCCAGTCCCACAGGTGGTGTTTAGTGGGTAGGCACTCCTTAGTAAGTCCCACATAACCACGCAGCCGGCTGCGTAGTATGCTATGAGCAATCACCACCTCCCTCCCCCGCTTCCGGAGGATAGCTTAGCTTTGGGCGCAAAAAAAACTGGCTATACCATACAAAATGCATCTGCCGATTTGAAACGTCCTCATTGTCCGTACCGGGAACTAAAATTTACATAATATGCCAAAGTCTGTTGTGTTATTTAAATTGTATCTCTGTATTTTGAACTTTTAAACTAAATAATGAAAGTATTTTAGTTGGTTTGATTACGTTTAATTTTATAACATAATATATTTATATTTATATATATTTATGATTTTCTAACATAATATAATATATTTATTAAACAGTGGTAGAGCCACGCGGCAGCTTTTGCTGTCGCACGGATGGGCCGGCCCGAACCGGGGTAGTACCACGACCTCACAGAAAACCAGCGTGAAGTAGAGGTTTACCTCTGCGTTTCGCTTAGTGAGTGCAGGTGGCCGGAAGTCCTTTTTACTGGAAATGAGGCATTCCATCTTAGTCCTCACGGGTGACAACGCATCTACATTTTGATTTGTAACAGAGTGTGCTCGTTTGTCACCCTATTCCTATAAAAAAAAATAAGAATTGTTTTTAGTAATAGTGAGTGTGCGTAATATATAAACTCTTTACCAAGAGGAAAGTGGGATAACATTCGACGAGTAAGTTAATTTACAGCTAATATTAAAAAATAAAACTATTTGATAATATAGGTACTTAAAAATTTGTTACTAATCTTAATATCGTAATTACCAACATGTTTGGCTTTATATTATTTAGTTTTGATAAACAATAAAATTCAATAGGGTTGTCGAGTTTCTTATCTATGATACTCATCAATGTTCTTTTCTATACATATCTGTTAACTATCAAAGTCGCCGACAATAGATAACTATCAAATGTTTATTAATTAACAGGTTTCCAACTGAACCTAGACTAAAATTATGGCTAAAAAGCATAAAAATTGTGAATTAGCGTTCGAAACAAAATCATTAATATAACGTGATTTACCTTTTTTTCCAGTCCTCTACAGAGATAGTATTTTACCAGAGCGAGATTTTGTATTTCTTTCTCAGACTGGCTTACACTTTTATCGGCTATTTTTTGCTTCATTAGATTCCACACATACTCGATTTGATTCAAAGTACGGTGGAAGGCGTAATACTACGTGTCCGTGACTTCGTCAATTTCATATTTTTTGGTAGGCTTCGAATGATATATTACATAGTATAATTCTCGCTTCGTCATCTTTGAGTCAAAGGATATACCATTTTCCTGCAATCACTTTTGCATAGCTTCTTTGCGTACCACTGAAGTCAGTGGTTTATCAATCTGGCGGCTGTAATACGGTGCATTGTCAAGCACAATAATGTTATTCAGAGGTAAGTTCGGTAGGAGATTTTCCTGTATATAATTTTTGAAATTATTTACGTCCATTTTATTATGGTAGTCCACTATAGTGCTTTTGCATTTATAAAAGAGCTCGGCACCTTTGACAAAACCATTCTCGCTGCCAGCTAAACCACAATCCAACGTTGTCCGGGGTTGAAATTTTTTTTGAACGCTTGCATCCGTGGCATTTTGCCAGCATTTTGAAACTGTATAGTGGCTGTGTTTCACGACTCAAAAACGAAATATATGACTGGTTTTTACGTAACGTACTCTCCATGCTGCTATCTCCGGTTTCTGAATAAGATATTGTCTTATATTTTTACATTTTGTAAACTTATATCCAAGCTTCGTTTTTATAATTTTCCAGAGTGACTTTTTGTCCAGAAAAATTGTAATCTTTCTTTGATTTTTATAATATTTTGCGCAGCGTAGGAACTTCCTTTTAAACGGTAAAGAAACGGTCAATTATGTTTCGGATTGAACACACCATGCAATCATCTATTTCCAACCTCTTTTTAGCTATTTTCTTTTTTCTCGGTGTCTTCAATTTTATTTCTTGTGCACTTGAATTACGGGGCTCAGGTAAGCTCGTTTTAAGTTTTTTTGCTTCAGTCTTCATATTTCTTAAAGTACGTTTAGATATACCAGTGGCGGCTGCAGTTCTCTTAATAACATTATTAAAGGATTTTTATAACGCCTGGTCCTTCTTTTCATTTTCCAACAACATCATTTCTATTTCCGACGGTGCAATGGGATGAGTAGGCAGTGTGCTGGCATAAGTATCAACTGCCTTTTCATTTATTAATCTTGCAATACTTTCCATAGCTTTGACATCTTGGACGTCATAAGGCGTATCAACTGCTTTTCAACATTTCTTGTTCAAAGAATGTCATTAGCTTATAAAATAAATTGCGTATGCCACTGTGCAAGACCTTTCCTCTTTTACTCATTATAACAAAACAAATTTATAACGTCAACAGAAACAAAACAAAAAAACAACAACAAAAATACCAACCAAAACGTGAACGCACGAGACCATAAAAAACGGACGTAAGTACACTTCGACGTTGCTATCGGTACTAAAATGCCGTGCCGGGAGATAACGGCATTCTTGAAGTAACTACTAGAAAAAAATGTAGTTCCTAATTGCGGGAAAATGTTATCTAGTGATATCTACAAATATCTACTCTACCACAGAATACTATAAATAATACCTTTTGTTAGATTTTATGTTATTGTATTTCTTGACTATTACTTTTTACCGAGAGTTCTGTAGTAAATGGTGTTCTGTGCTCTAATATCCTTTTTAGAAGAAATTATATACAAGGTTATTTTGTAATAATCGGCCAAATTTTCAGAGAAGGTTCAGAATATAGGCAAATGCTGAAGAAAAATTATTAAAAAAGAATCTCTTACATTCTTACTTACATATTTTTATCTTTTTTAAATTCAAAATGCGTGGTAAATGGTAATTCATTATTTTTAGTGAGCAACCGAAGATTCGGTTTCGGTTTAGGCAAGTTTCGACAAAAAAACCTTGTTTCGGTTTCGGCAAAAATCTGCCTAACCATCGGCGGCGCCGAAACTCAGTGTTTCGGATAAGTTCGTGACTCGTGTATTACTCATAATTATATTAGGTTAATGCTGTCATTGAATAATATATTAGTTTTAACAATATTTTGATATTGTTAAAAGTAATATAAGGGTGTAAGGGTTGATTTCTTATAAAATTTACTTAAAAAAGTATTTCTTAACGTTACATTGTTGATTTTTTTACTTTAAAACTAGCTGTTCCCCGCGACTTCACCGCGTTTATTTGGGGTTTTAAGTTTTTTGCGCGGAACCCTAATTCTTTTTCTAAAATAAAAGTAGCCTAAGTTACTCCTGGTGACATCGGCTATCTGCCAGTGAAAATCCTGTCAAAATTGGTCCAGCCGTTTCGGAGATTAACCGGAACAAACAGACAGACAGACAGACAAAAACTTTAAAAATTGTATTTTTGTTATTAGTACGGTATATATTTTCATATGCATTTAGTAAATAGCTGTAATTTTGACATTACAAACAGACACTTCAATTTTATTTATATGTATAGATAAATAAATATATTGCTACATGACTATTACAATTACTATTTTTCATTAACATGCACTACCTTTATGTATATGTTTAAAAAATATACCAGATTTCAGTTTATAATAAAAAATACGTCTAAATAAGTTTCCGTTTCGGCCGTAATTTACCAGACCGAAGGTTCGATTTCGGTTTCGGTTGAAAACCCTACGTTCGCAGTGTCAAGGGTTTTTGGAAACAATTTAAGCGTACATAGGGGATTCCTGCTTTTATTGTTTCACTAAGACAATGTGATTTACCATCTAGGTTAAGGGGTCTCAACGTTATGCTAGTCAATCCCTGCTATAAAAATATATTTTGTATTCCTCCCGCCACAGTTTGTTAATCTATGTACTATTGAGTGTTGGAATTTTTAATTAAAGGGAAGTGAAGAGAGGGGAAGATGGTCCACCCGATGTTAAGTGCTATTCTTTGCGTACACAACAACAGTACGACTTACGTCATTACGTCTTTCCCTACTTGATTAAGAGAAGTTCCAGTTAAGCTTTGCAACAGTAGTACCCACGCCAAGCTTGTCCGCCAAACAATAGAGCACTCGAACAGCAACAAAATGATCACAGAGTTACCTTTGTAAGTTTACATGATATTATCATTTTAAATTATTTTAATATCAAAAGGATGAATAAAAATGGTGAGAAATGTAACTGTAGTTATGTATACCTACGTAATTTGTTATTTTGCGTTGGCCCCGGAGGATTTAAACCAATTGTATTTATCCCATGCACCTTACCACACAGATGTCACGCCCCCACCTGTGGGTTCTGTGCCCTATTGGAAGATGCGTCCTCCACTTTGAAAATCTAGGGCTTCATTACTTCGTGTAGAATCTCCTAGTTAGTCTGTGCTTGATTACTACTGGGGTCGTAGTCACGCACTGTGTCAAATCTCCGTAATGAATTTTGCAAAATATGTCAGACTAGGCTGTATGGACATGGACTCCTTTGTATCTTATTATTAATGTCAAGTTGACATTGACAGTTGACACAAAAATAAAAATCTCAAATGATAACAAATAAACCCAAAAAATGACTAAATTAAATAACGCTGAAGCTGCGGCTCGTATGAATCCATGCTTGAAGGTTTTAATGAATTGTAACAAAATCTATCAAGTTGCATCCAAAATCTTTATATATTACTTGTCCGAAAAAAATTATCCATGTTTATCACTTACCGAAACTTACCCTGCATTATATAATTTTAGGAGCAAACCCAATCTTATGAATGCTTAAGTAAGAATGGATACGATCAAGAGAAATGCGAAGCTTACTTCGACAACTATAACACATGTAAAAAGTTTTGGGTAAGCATTCGTATTGAATACGTTATATTGTAAGCTTCATATCATACTAATTTGATAAACATTATTCACTTTAATAAAATGATTAACAGCAATCATCAATTTTAAATATGTGGTTAGTTGCTACTGCACTCCATAGACACCTGTAGTCAAGTTCAAACAAAGAATGCCACAGATGCTGTTGGCCCTTAAGACTAAGATGGAAAGTCTCACAGTTTGAAATTATACTTGCTCTCCATATTCTTCAGACTGCAATACAGCAATGCAAGCACTCCAATTCAGCATCAAATATAGGTAAGATTCCTAGGTAGTATTTTTTAACCCCCGATGAAAACGGAGGGGTTATATGTTTAACATGTGTATTTCTGTCTGTGATTTTGATTAAATTTTTTTTTGGTTGATAAGCGACTTGATGTTCAGCCATTTTAAGATTATCAGCTCTTTTTGTTTCGGGTAGTTATAAAATTTTTAATTTAAGTTGTCAATATCTTCTTTTTACTTCATTGTAACAATTTTGATGGTTAGAGATGAGGGTGATGCTTTTTTCAATACTGCACAGTCATTTATAGAAATGAAATTCAAATTTATCTTCAAAATAATGATAGATGATTTGCCACAAAAAATACTTTGTTTTCTTTTTATAGGATAGGGTGACAAACGAGCACACAGTCCACCTGATGGTAAGTGGTTGCTGTGGCCCATAGACATCTACATCTATCCTCGTTTGCAAATCAAAATGCAGATGCATTGTCACCCGTGAGGACTAAGATGAAATGAATATTTTCCAGTAAAAAGGGTCTCCGGTTCTCTACACTCACCATACGAAACACAGCAGTGTTAAGCTGCTATTTTATGCTAGTATTCTGTGAGTGGCCCTTCCCCGGTCGAGGCGACCCATTTGTGCTACAACTATACTACTAATATAGCTGCACCATGGCTCTACCACGTAAAAAAAGTTTTAAAAGATCATAAGCTCTTTTTGTTTGGAGGGGGGAGGGGGGGGGGGGTTTAAATTTTTAATTTAATTTCTTAATATCTTATTAGTATTTATTTCTTACTTGATTGTAACAATTCTAATGGTTAGAGATGGGGGTGATGCTTTTTTCAATACTGCAGTCATTTATAGAAATAAATAAATAAAATCTCTTTATTTCGGACTAATATCCATAATTGTTAGTAGGTACAAGGAAATTATAGCTATGTTAGTAATAATTAAGTGTAGACACGAATAATTAGTTTAAGTACAAACCAGGCCTACCTGAGGCACTAGGTTTATGCACATGCATATTCACCCAGTGTCCCATAATAGGACAATCTTGTAGGTTTGCTACTAATAGCCCTCAGTATGGTGTTGGAGCTACCACATATTCTGCGCATGAGCGAGGCGACACGTTTGTGCAACACCGTTTCGAAGCTATCAGTGCGCACTTGCGCATACATGCCCGACGCGCTGCAAAATCGCGGCAGACCCAACATCACCCTGAAGGCATTATTATACTGTACTCGGAGTGCGCTGAAAGCCTCCCGCGTATAATCAACCCACAGATTACGTGTACATTGTTTGGCAGAAGGCTTTAAACAATGTTATTTTAACTTCTGTGGTACATCGTGAAAATCTGCGGGCTAACATATTGCAGCGGACTGCCAACATTCCTTTCCCTCTCCATATCACAGTCATCCCTCAGCTTCTCGTTCACAATGTGACCGAGATACTTGAAGGACGTTACGCGATGTATAGCTACTCCGTTTAGGTACACTGGCAGTACATTAAGAGCTCTGCAACTGTCTGCCTTAAATACCATCAACTCACTCTTCTTTACATTGTAAAGAAGACCGTGAGACTCCGAAATGAAATTCAAAATTATGTCCTGTTAGATGATATTCCACAAAAAATATTTACCTTTCATATATGGTTTAAATGTGACATATTGACAACAAACAATGAAGATTGTTGAAATATTAGAGACAATCAGAACTAGACTTGAAATCATCAATGTAGCCAACAATTTGAGTTTGTTACAAATGTTGCATGTCAGCATGAATGCCAGATGCTCTGACCATGCAGTTACAAAATGCTAAAAATATATTTTGATTCTTTCAGGGTCAAGTATATAGAGACCGGAGAGCAAAAGGGATTCACCCATACTTACCTGACCTAGAAGACAGGGAAAAGATTAAGAGTGAATATATGAAAATGACTCAATGATTCAGACAGAAAATTAAATGTCAGTTATAGCATTATATTTGCAGTTAATTTTTAACTATAAGTCTTTGTAAATAGTAAAGATTAAAATTTTTATGTTTGACTTAATTGATTTTTCCCTTGTGAGATATATCCCCCCTGACAAGCCTTATTTCCGTGATGGATATTGAGTAGGTAACTTCATAAGAGAATTCGTGGTGGCGACATAAGAGAATCTATCACACCACTTTATCTCATTTCATTTCACTTTCTTTCCCTTTACTTGCTTAGTATATAGAGTCCTGTGGGTGTCGTAAGAGGAAAATCTCAGCTTGCATTTATATGCTAGTATAGCCATCTTGTTAGCACCAGACGTAAATTCCCAGTTAGAATCCGATAGGTGGCCCTGTAGTCTATTATTAACAAATTCTATATTTAAAAATAAAAAAGTGACTCATATTTACAACACATTACTTTTTTGATTGCAAGTGCTAAAAAGGAAATCATAATATCTGGGCCCCATAGATGACATGTTGGTCGAGGTGTTAATAAATGTTATCTATAATATAAAAATGAATCGCTGAATGTGTTGCTAAGCGCAAATCTAGAGACCCGCTGGACCGATTTGGCTAATTATTTTTTTATAATATTCCTTGAAGTACGAAGATGGTTCTTACGGAGAGAAAAATTAAAAAAAAAATGCCTGATAAAGTCTAAAAACAACACTTTTCTATATTCCCGTACAAAAGATTCGTAATAAAGTTTAAGTCTTAGTGGAGGGGTTCCGGGAAGGCAAAACAATTGAGTGACGTTAGTATCGTATAAATATTAATGTCAATATTTATACACACTGGCAGATAGCTGATGTTATAAGGAGTAACTTGGGCTGCTTTTATTTTAGGGTTTCCGCGAAAAATAACTCTACGCGGGCGAAGTCGCGGGGAACAGCTAGTATTCAAATAAAATTTATAGCGCCATCTACCGGAAAGGATAACGTTTGTACGGCCAGCTAGTATCTCGCAAATTAAGAAGTATTAGCTTAGGACTGTGCTTTGTGGTAACCTTTAATTTTTAGCGCCCCCTTGTCTATGTACAATATATTATATCATATCCATGTATTTATCGCGGATAGGCTTCAATTAACCACATACCTCATTTACCAAATTCACTTAACGATCTCAGCAATCTTGGATGGGTTGGTGAACGAAAAGCACATATTATCTTCACACTAGTGATGATACCCTCTATTAACTCTCTGACTGGTGTTAAGGCCGTTATTCAGACAATCTCGAGTTTAAGTTTAAACTCAAACTTAACAATACCAAAATTTGGGTATTATAGACCACAGAACACTATTACTCTATCAAGTGGTCTGGATTACAATATTATGACGACATTACGAAGTTTGAGCTTAAACTTGGGATCGAGTCAGTTTCTAATCTGGCCTTTGATTAGCTTTGTCTGTATTTGAAAATACTCATTTCAAAACAGAAATATTTTCTATGGCACTACGGCTATTTGCCGAGGGAAAATGAAACTAAGGAATATTTATTTAATCTTTTTTTAATTCGTGTTTTACGTGATATACAGCCAATAAGTGGTCAGCGTGTAAAAAAAGCTTATTACTAGTGCGGTAAATTTGTTTTATACAATACAACAAAGACAAATCGAAAAGTATTTATTTATCTATCTACAATAGTAGTTGTACATATTTTATTATAATATGCCAGTAAACTAATGTACTGGATACTGATTATCTCGCAGAGTCGACAAGAATCACTAGATAAGCTCATGTCAGAGATCTCTTTCACTGCAATTTTCAATCAATAAAAAAATGACGGTACCTATGAGGTTAACCAAGTTGACTTTCCATAATTGTTAACTGAGTAAATGAGGAATGATACTCGTGGCTTTATTAATTTTTAGCAGATTCAAAAAAAGGAAGAAAAAATTCCTTCCTATCTAAGGACAGAAAAATAGGGTCCGATTTTTGTTGTTGATGTAACTAATAAAGACGATATTCTAGTTATTTTGAGATTATGATTGCGTTTAGTCTACTTAAAAAGTTAATTATTTCATTCTTTTTAGTTCTTTGAAGTCTATTTATACTTTTTAAAAAATTTAATAATTGTATTTTTCTAGCCTTAATGATTGTAGAAAGTCAATTTGGCCAACCCTGCTGTGATATTTCTTACGCCCTTTCTTCTACAATCAGAAGAACTGTAGCAGGTTCCGTTGCCTTAAAATTAACTAATTGAGTGTAAGAAAGTGACTATCTGGCCACAATCGGCTAAGTACTTGTCACATTCATCACATCCTAATGATATTCGTGTTGCGGACTTGTCAGTTGCTGTACACATTTCTTAAAGTTAGGTAGCACCAACTTCAATATATATATATATATATATATATATATATATATATATATATATATATATATATATATATATATATATATATATATATATATATATTTATTAATTTACTAATCGTATAATTGGTTTACAGCTCTTATAAGACACTGAACTTGGTACTTCGTGCGACAGAGACGACACTACAAAGACTATAGTAGCCGATAGTCTCTTTCTAAAACTCGATGTACTTATAATGTTTACGGTTGAGTATTATAATCTTATATGTTGATAAATGTATTATTAAAAAACAATTTGACTTAAAATTATCAGGTTGACATTTGTACTGGAAAGGACCAGTGTTATATTCTTTTTCGGTGAAAAATTGTAAAATCCATTAGCTTATATACAAAAAGAAGCAGAAATGTAGGTAGAGCACGCGTAGTGGAGACTCGAAAACGTCCTATTTGGGACGTTTTGTATTTAGTCTAGGGATGGGCAAAGGGAAAAAATATATCGATATATATATCGAATCTATATTTTTAAACAGTATCGATATAATATATCGCGTGATAAACATCGATATATCGTCATCATTTGAATGATGTAAAGATAAGGTCCAAAATTTTATTTACTGACGGTTGGACGACGAAAAAAACGATACGAAAATATCGATATTTCGATATATCGATATTTTTTGCCCAAGCCTAATTTAGTCCGCGTCACGCAGGGCGTCGAGAAAGACGCTGTATAATTTTATATAAAAATTGCTGTATTTAAAGTGTGTACCAATTATGATTTTAAATTTAAAAAAAAACACAAGGAATCTTATATCAAACTTTGATTTATTGGTAAATTGCTATTATTTTCCTAATATTTTAATATGTGGAGGTTAGAAAAAAAAGAAAGTGGGCAAATAAATTTGAACGTGCGGTGATTGGTGGGCCGGATAACGTTCGGGTAACGTTTGTTTACACTTACGTGTAAGTGACAAACACTAGTTATCCTCTTTCTTCTTATTATTTTAATCACGCCATCATTTTTGCATCATTCGGCAAATTAGTGAAGTGTAAGATGAACGAAATGTATGTGAATGTGTGCCGTCAAACGTTTTTCGGTGATTTTGTGAGCTTATATCTATAGTATACAGGATTATTTTGCAATATACGATCAAATTCACAGAGAAGATTAAGAATAAGTAATATAAAAGTAATAATAATGAAGAAAAATTTGTTAAAAAATATCACAAACATTCTGTCCTTTTTATCTTTTAAATTCAGAATGCGTGGTAATGCATTGTTTTAACTGATTGTCATTCATAAGTATCTAACATCTAACATTCGTAAGGGTCGGACGGGCGGCAAAAACGTTGTGATTTGAATCGCACACAGAGAAGCGCGCGTACGCGTAGTTGTTGTCTATAAATCACATTCAATTCGGGATAATTTCAAAATAAGTAGATTATTTACTAGTATTTTCAACAACTGCAATAACGTTATATCGTTATTATATGTTTGAATTTAAGTATAAAATTTGGCTACTCTTTGAAAAATAACCTTTTATAATATCATCGGATTACACACATTAAAAACATACCTACACATGGATTAAGAATCCTGCTTTTTTTTTAAATGACTTAAAAGTAATATATTAAGTTCTCGATATAAAACATCACAAACATTGATCTACAGAGATGTCACATTAAAATATACTTAATTTGTTAAAGATAACGTGTAGTTAATAAAATATAAAATAGTAAAAATAATAATGTTTAAAACATTATTTTGCCTCTATATTATATGGCTAACAAGTAAGCTGAGAGTTAGTAAAACTATGTAAAAAATATGGAAATGCCAAGTTTCTAACCTTTTTTAAATCACTGAAATAAGCGTAAATATACAACCGTATATACCTATACCGTGTGGTACAGTTTATCCCATATTATAAGGTATGTGGACCCTATAATATGGGGTATGATATTATCATCCCGTAGGTGTCGTAAGAGGCAATGTAAGAAAATTGAAACGGTAGATGGGCAATAGCATTTTCCCGATAACAAATCAAAATCATAAAAAACTGCGGTTACCAATCCAAGCAAGCATGGCAACTTTGGCCTTATAGGGGAGGACTCTACGGCTCTGATGGATTTTAACATATGGGTATGGATTATTACTTCTACCCTCCGTACACATGGGATGTTGTTAGATTCATCTTCATGGTAGAAGTGACATAGGGGATATATTTGAATTTTTCTCTTTTTACACATGTGGCGCGTAGAAGGAAAAGGGGAGATCTCCCGCCGGGCAAGGTGTTCTGCTCCCAAATTTGAGTGATCTTATTTGGTGACTCGCCGCGATTGCAATTACCACTGGCAATCAAGAGATACAGAATGGCATTAGAGATGGTGGCAAGGAGTTTGCTATTACAACAGAAGGATTTATCCCCTGGCGCAGGTGCCCCGACTCGAAACTGTCTCGGATGGGCGCGAGCCGCAACTTTGACCAATGATCAAGTTGCCTTCCTAGAAAGCGCAAATATCATGGGTGATGCATATCCAGTGAAGTTTGCTAGGTTCCAATACAATATAGACTTATTTGAGAAGATATCCTTAGCATTGACTAAGACTGAGGAGAAGATTAAAATCGTTCCTCAGACGAGGAAGAACACAGAAGGAGCTTTTGCTCAAGTCTGCTGGACCGTTGTAAAACCTATCCTGCAAGACACATCAGCCAACGTATTTAACACAGAAAGCCGCAACAATCAAGTTGTGACCGCTGCTGAAACTGACTCACGCCAAGTTCTAGCCGCACTGATATTGTCATATCGTGTGCGAAAAGACCAGATTGGCAACTCTAGGCCATATTGTGTGTATGCGTTTGGGAATTACGCTAACGTTCCTCATCCTTGGCATGACACACGTAATCACGTCGGGGTCACCAGTGTGGCGGGTAGAAGGAAAAGGGGCGATCTCCCGCCGGTCAAGGTGTTCTGCCCGGGGAGCGGCCAACGCTCCGAGTGGTAGTTCGGAGCTATTCTATATATACAGCGGAACTTTGTTAGCGCGATTTAGGCTTCGATGTGTTTCGCTTGTGGCGTGACGACAGCGCCACCACACACACACATACAGTTTTACGTAGTCGGGGTTTTTTATTTATAATTGTTTTAACCATTGGGCTTGCATTTCTATAAGGCGCAAACAAATATACTCAATATAAGTGCAGAGTGTGAGGTGGGATTTAGGGCCCCGGTTAAACACTAGAAACTATTTTTAATATCTCTCAGACCAAATGTCTTACTAATTTGATATAAATTCATTTGGTATCTTAATCTAAATACATATCACTAACAAACCTTACACAGCAGCCATATTGTAAATAAGGCTTCATATTACAAAAAGCAAACCAAAAAAAATTTTAGAACATTGATTTTTGGTGATATGTAAATAATCATAGATACATATTACACATTTTAATAGTAGCGTGTAGTAAAACATTTCGATATATTTTTTTATATTACATCGATTAAAATTAAAAATAAGGTATAATAATAAAAAAGAAAAAGATTGATTTATAGGGCCGGACTAAAAAACATTTACACTTAAAACTAAATAAAAAAAAATCGTAACGATCAAGGCACACGCTTTCGTAACTTTCACACGTTCTCAGCTAATGCTTACACGTTTTTAATTGTAAAAATTGCCATATCTTATATTAATACTAAGAATCACTCCTCTTATAACTTACACAAAAGCGTGCAGTTTTAATAAATGTTTACCATTTCTGGTGTGTAAATGTTAGAAATACTACTTAATAGCTATACATTTTATAAAGCACAACCATCGTCAAAGCGTGCACCTCGGTACAAACATGTAGTTTCAAAATATTTATTTATTTAAACAACATAAAATAAATAAATATGTAAGACAATGCGTGCTATAAATCCTTAAAAGAAATATCATGTACATATAAATTTGTTCGATGACTTTAATATAATAAAATTATGAAAAACTGTTTGAAATTTCAAATACAGAAATATGATTATGTAACATTTTTTTTTTAATTAAGATAGCTGCAATACGTCAAAATGAAATCTCACAATAAGATTATTTGTTTGTTGAAATATAATTTTATATTTAACTTAGCTTCTTAACGTTTAAAAATGTATATTTAAAAAAATTGTTATGTACATGATCCTTATGCATAACATAACATTAGGAAAGGAACAACACAATAATCATGTATTAGCGCATACATTAAATAAGGAACAAGATACGAGTTTGACACAATGTAATAAATACGAATGATAAGGTCGGTATACAAATGTATGGTAACAGAGAGTATTATAGAGAAGGTAAAATGATATGTTCGGGGCACTCTCTTTTTTGTAAATTATTCTTAGTCTGTAATGGCTAAATTTTAAAGTTTAAAATATTCTAAATAACAGATATATTAATTTTTTTCTTTAAGTAGCTTCTTATTGATTCGTACGCGTTTGCTTTCAAAAAATTAAAAACCCCTTACTAAAATAATAGATAATAATTTCTTTTCAACCAGAATACCCTTCAATTTCCATTCACAGTTCAATTGTCAAACCTAACACGTAAGAAATAAGATATATTTTAGCGCGTACATGTTATATGTTGTTGACACCGTGAATTCAAGTTATGAGATAATAAATATAGTTAATTGTGGTGATAGCTTTCAAATATAAATTGTAAGAGCTGATTTTTTGGAGGTATCCATATATGAATTAATACTGGGTCATATACCAATTACTACTTGGTTGAAAAATTAGTTATACAATATGCCAAAAATAGTTTACGAAGTCTGTACTTCCATTAGTAGTGGACAATATAATGAATAGTATTTATTTAGAAATGTATAATGCATGCTATGTCGACTTATGACAGCATGCGGTTTACTATCACAATTTGCAAATGTTTATGTTATTTGCCACGGTGGTATTAAAATGTTATGTTATGTTATGTTATCTAGCACGCACTGTCATCTAAGAGTCAATCTGAACGTTGTTTTATATGGAAACAGTTTATTCTGAAGTGATTGCACATTTGTCGTACCTGTAAAAGAATTGAAAATAAGTTTATGTAAAAAACAAAAAATATATACCACATTGTCTTGCGATTATGAGCTATGTTCAAAATTTAGAATAAATTACTAAATTCGACCTTAACCGACAAACACTAAAGCGAGTTAAAAACAACCGGCCAAGTGCGAGTCGGACTCGCGCATGAAGGGTTCCGTACCATCGCAAAACACGTTTCTAGTAGGGGAGCCTCCTATAATTTTTAATTTATATTTATTATTTGTTATTATAGCGGCAACAGAAATACACATTCTGTGAAAATTTCAACTGTCTACCTATTACGGATTATGAGATACAGCCCGCTGACAGACAGACGGACGGACGAACAGCGGAGGCTTAGTAATAGGGTGCCGTTTGTTACCCTTCGGGTACGGAACCCTATAAAACGTGATAAAATAAGGTTTTATTTGGTGTCATACTTTCATATTAGACGAAGAGATCTTTAGATAGGCCTATCAAATCATCTGTCTTGTATCTGTGTGAAGAGTTGAAGAGATAGATAATTATGACCTTAGAAAGATAACGGAGTAACTCCTTCAAATTCCCTTCTTGTTTATGGCTCTATAAACTGTAGAAAGCTAACTGTTTTCATCTCCACAGGCTAAGGAGAATACTACCAAGGGGTGGCAATTTCAGAGAAACCATCATTCCGTTTAATCTCGTAACAGGCGGCTTAAGTAAATGCTCGGAACATTTTGTGGCTTTAGACAAATAATAACAATAATGTCCTCCAAACCGAATTTCGGTCACGACAGCCACTCCCAACGAAGACTAGCCACCTAGCACAGAATATGATTATAGTGTACTAGTCCCTCACTCTCATAGTCCGATGTGACGACAATCCGACACGACCGGAGAGAGATCAGGCGCAGGAGTAACGGCTTTACGTGCTTTCCGAGGCACGAGGGTGAAACTGCGTACTGAGAATTTCTTGACAGAGAAACTCAATAAATGATTCTTTTTTGAACCCGGGACCTCATAATCAGCAGTTGGAATTTCCGGTGGGTGTCGTAAGAACGTAAAATAATAAATAACTACGATTGCCAACATGCCTGCCAAGCGTGGCAACTATGGCAAATATACCTCCTATGAGGCAATCTATGGGTGAGGCATGTGTAACTAATAGGTTATAATGAATGAATTAATTAATTAATGATAAAGCACAGTCGCGGAGCAGGCATTTTTTTATTGCTTTGCATTTTTAAACTTAATTCCCATCATATAAAGTTTTATTTCTATTGCAACTAAGATAGTTTTATTTTTTTTCTTTTAGGTCCTTTTAAATAGTATTTGTGATTCGAAAACAGAGTTTATTCTCAAGTTATTAAAGTTCATATTTGTATGAATTGCAATAATTTGAAATTCCTCCTGCTCCGCGATCACGCCATAATAATAGTATAGAAATCCTTTAAGAATACTTACAACACAAGCACCGTAATGCACATGGGCTGCAACACTGAATACAGTGAGCGCGTAGAAAGCTGGCAACTCGTAGCTTGGCGCGACCAGAGACAACAGTGCGGCCATAGACAACGGCCAGGTCAGCCAGTTGACCGCCTCACAGCGCTGGTTGCTCATTTGGCTCACTATCAGTCGACACTGTCAGAATATTACTGGTAGAATAATCGTTTCATTTCAGCTAATCTAAGGTCTTTTGTAATTTCTCAGGGGATAACAGAGAATTTGAAATACTTATTTGGTGTGAATTATTATTTTTTAAGTCGTGGATGCCCACATTTAAGTTTTATTTTATTTAAGACAAGGTAGTCGTGGTGTGGGTAGTCAGGGGATAAGCAATCACCATAAAATATTTTGGTACTGTAGCAAACAGAGTTCTATTACCGCTAGCACCAAACATAATTAATTGCAATTTTAAGTACTGTTTGACTGTAAAGGAAATCATCCTGAGGATATATTCATGGCAGAGAAATTAAAAACATTCGTGGACATATCCTTCCTTGGCCTAAAACCATTAATAAGAAGGCCTGTTCCCAACAGTGGGACATATGTGACACAAAAAAAAATGAATAAATAACTTACAGCAACATTACTGAATATAGTTCCGATGAGAAGGAATACAGCTCGGAGATCATAATCAGGCAGTAGCGTAGACTTGTGAACCCAAAAGGTTGTTACTAAGAACACTGTCAAGATAGACCACAGCGGTCGTACTGCTTCACTAAACGAACGCATTTTACCGGTCCTCAACTTGTACGATCTGCGAATGGACGATACGTCTGTTAGATTTAAAGTTAGTTCTTCTGAATTATTATACAAATACATAAATAAAATTGCTCAACATGTAGTAACGATGTAAGAATATAGAAATTTAAAAAAGGGTCTCCGGTTCCCTACACTCACCATACGTAACACAGCAGCATTAAGCTACTATTTTACGCTGGTATTCTGTGCTAGTGCGGCCCTTCCCAGGTCGAGGCGGGTCATTCGTGCTACAACCGTAATATACATGCAGCGTGGCTCTACCAGGTATAGACCATCTCCTGGTTTGTTTCCTCTGCCGCCTCTTACGATACCCACGGGACCATATGGGGTAGGGAATATTCTTACACCGCTTCTACAAGGCGATATTATAGTCTTGAACAATAACTCACAAGTAAGTATTGTATAAGGCCACTGGTAGATTGGTGAAAACGCCCGTCGCGTAGATCAGCCATTCAAACCCGTTTGCAAGCGTGTAGCTACCAAATATATACCGCTTGAAATACCCCGTGCCATGTACCCCTGTCCAAAGGAAGAGGAACGTTGAAGCCTGCAACAATACAATATTACTATATTATGTTACATGCTAACCGCGTAGTGGCCGCATTAAGAATATCCACTACTCTATGGAACCAAACTAGAAAATGGGCAGCAGCAACTTCCTGACAACAAAGAGTAATAAGCGGCAGAGGGTAACAAATCAGTAATGTAAGTATAAAAAGGGTACCAAGCTATCCTAGCAATATCAAAACATGATTTTTAGGGTTCCGTAGTTAAGCAACAAGGAACCCTTACAGTTTCGCTATGTCCGTCCTTCCGCATTTTTACTCAGAAATCCAAGGTGACACAAATGTGTAATTTGGCGTAGTTATAGATATTAACCACGCTTACAAAACTGTGCAATAAAATTACGCAAAACTTTTTTATTTTGGGTACCTACTATAACAGGTAAAGCGAGGAAGCGTAAAAGGAGGATGTTTTTTACTTTACTTTACTTTTGACATTTCCGAAAACGGGGGCTGGGCACATCTATACATCTATACAATACAATACAATAAAATACAATAGAAACACTCACGCCTGTCACCCAGAGGGGTAAAATTACAATTTTTAAAATTTCTGTCTTTTTGTCCCGGGTAATCTCCAAAACGACTGGACCGATTTTGACGAGACTTTCACTGGCAGATAGCTGATGTCATAAAGAGTAACTTAGGCTACTTTTATTTTAGAAAAATAATTAGGGTTCCGTGAATTGTGTGAATCAAGAAAACGAAAACGCATGAGATCCAATCGTAATAAATCCCACGCGTACGAAGTCGCGGGTAGCAGCTAGAACTAATAAAAATACCACTATAAAGCTAAATATTTCGCAAACGGACAATAAATCGAAAAAATGTTGTTCCATACATCTAATATTCTTTTCCCTCCACACGATGGATAAGCGGGTAAAAAAATCATCCTCTCTTTACCCGTATGGGAGTTACCCAAAATAAAAATGTTGTTCAAGATTTTATTTGATAGTTTTGTAGGCATGACAACTATAACTAAGCCAAATTACAGATTTGTAGCTCCTAGACATAGTAAAACCAAAATAGTAGGACAAGTCCCGCGCCGCGCGAGACTTAAATGCCTACTGTTGCAGGGTTGTCACTGTCTTTTTGTTCAACAGCTAAATCTCATTTAGTTTTATAAGTAGTTATAATATTTACAAACATAATACATACGGATACGTGCCTATGCATCATATTTGTTAATAATTTATTTAGTTTCCTCTCAAAGAATCAATGTTTTTAAAAAAAAATCGAGCTTTACATTACAACAAATGCCAAATAACTAAAATACGAGTAAATTAACACTGAGCGTATGGTGTTAGGTCAGATTTAATGTTTAAAATTAATTTGATCTTCAATGAATAATTCTGGATTTGAGGAACTGTTGTTGAGGCATCCAAAGACAGTACAATATGTTATATGTGCTTTCGACATATTTGTAAAGCATAAGCATAGTTTAAATAGGTGCGGCACGCGAAATATCACAAGACTCAAACCATAGTAAAAACAAAATTCTGGTTTTACTATGTTCAAACAAAGATGACTGCGGAGCGCGGTGGTGGGCGTCCCTGACTCGGCCCGATCTTCCCGACTTAGCAAGTATCGTTGTGTGTGTGCTGGTAAGAGTCCGTACTGGCACGTGCCAGGCACACATTAGCGGCGTTCGGTACATTTCTTAGAAGATAGCATACTATTTTGTTTTTACTATGATCTAGGGTTTATATCTAAGGTTTCTGAGTGAAACCGCGGTCGGACGGACGGACGGATATGGCGAAACGATTAGGGTTCCTTCATTGTTTCACTACGTAGGTGAGATTTTTTTTTTATAGAAGAAGGTACAATAGAGCATGCGGCTCACCTGATTGTAATGACAACATAATAAATATGTGAATTATATCTTTTATATTATAAAAGTTAGATCTCTCCTCGTAATTTTAATAATGTGTTATTCTTCATGTATGAGTGCGGTACGCGGGCGCTACGCAATTTTAGACCTTATGTAGGCGTTTTTAAGTTTTTATAGAAATTATGCACTCATTCTACGCAGAATGAACTTACTAGATCAGACCATAGTTAATAATTAAAAAAGTTGGAGGTACTCCGGGTTAACTCTGACATCGGGACGTCAATCACCTCAGTCCCCCGTGACCACGTCGGGAATAAATAAAAATAAGATAAATAAGTTAATTTAACGCGAAAAATTCCGTAAAAGTAGTTTTATTCAATGTGTAGTGTATATCTATAAAGGTATGTTATACACATTAACATTAAACATTACTAATATTCCCTTTAACAACTTCTGGTAAGCTTAAAATGCTTGTGTTAGAAGTGGTTCACAACAGTAGTCGAATGGCGGATTCGAACCCACGACCTTTCGAGTACGCGGTCTGCGCCCTGCCATTAGGCTACTGACGACTTAGTGACGTCTATAAATTATGTAACACAAGACAATCTCACTTACCCACATGCTAAAATCGTATCCCCAAGGCAGAAAGAGAACACCAGTGTTGTACTTCTCCCAGTGGCTCAGATAGAAGTTGAGAAGTAAATTCCACATCACGTAATAAATTCTGAAAAAGAAATAAACTCGTAAGCGTAAGCTTGGACGAAACCGTTACCTATTTTTTTTATAGAATCGGGGGCAAACGAGAATTTTCTTGAAGATCCCTAAGTCGTATCGGTCCGGAAAAATCGCCAGTGGTAAACAATTCCATAGAGAAGTCGTACGAGGAAGAAAACGTACCTTAAGAACATAGTCTTAAGAAACCTTGTTTGATTAAACTTCTGTTTAGCTGTAAGATTAACTGTACTTTTTTTTGCTCACCACTGATGACAATACAACACGTGTTTCGCCTCTACACGAGGCATCTTCAGGTGATAGAGTCTCTTGTGTCTTTCCAATTGTAGTGGTGTTGGGAGTAGTGGTGCTGGGATTAGTGGTGACGCGGATTGTGCACGCAATTGAGGGAGAGCGGGAGGTGCTCTTCAAACTGGGTAAGACACATCATTTTATTTTATCGATCGGATGTACGCAAGGTAATTTTTACCAACTTTAATATAACGGATTTCAGCAAAGTAACGCCTGATTCTATTAATTACCTTATTGATTTATTATTTCTATGAAATTACGTAGGACATACATAAATTTCTTCTTTTCATGTTTTTAATACTTTTTTGTTGAACTTTATCGATTTTATCTATTTCAGAATGAGACACTATAAAAGAAAAACTGAACGTGCTTCCCAAAGCCATGATGTATACGATTTGGCTTCTGTTGAAGTCTTTGAAAATAAAACCAGTGTACGAAATGCTGTCTAGAAAGATATCAAAGTCAATTTTTCTTGAACCGGTGAATTCAATAGAAACTACTCGTATTATACAATCATTAAACAATTCTAGCTCATGTGGGTATGCTGAAATCTCAACAAAAGTCTTAAAATTCTGTAAAAACGAACTAGCCCAGGTACTAACATACCTAATTAATATCCTTTGAAACGGGATGCTTCCCTGAGGCGCTTAAATTCTCGATCGTGAAACCTATTCACAAAAAACAGAATAAATCTGAAATCGGTATGTTTAGGCCAAATCGTAATATTAGGTTTAGGCATCAAAACGCGCGCTCAGCGCGTCCATTCGATGGTACCAGTCACAGCCTGGCACCCCCCGCGCGCGTCACTCCGCTCACCGCTCAATCGCCTGACGCGTGGGCGAGGTCAGTGTTGTTTGCGACCGCTGGGTCGGTCAGACCGTTCAGTTTTGTGCGACCGTTGGGTCGGTAAGACGGTCTAGAAGTTACTCTCGTATAGTTTGGTCGCGTGACGACTGCCTCTAATTGAGTTGCCTTTTCGTTCGTTTTACGTGACAATGAGGCGCCTCGGGAGTTTTTGAGTGATTAAATTAACTTCAATTGCCATTAATTTGCATCAACGAGTTGTTTGTGCGTCATTTTGATATCGTAATAAAACATTTGCTTTGTCGGTTGGAACGCTAAAACTTTGTGACTCGAGAGGAGATCGCGTTTGTGCCCGATGATAATTTGGTGCTAAGTGAACCTGGGACATTGAACTTTGACCGACCGTTTTTAAGTTGTGCGTGCCACTTGTCTTAATTTCGATTAACGTTGATTTGGTTGAATTTGAAGTTAATTAAATGTACAATAAAGTTGATAAACTAATATAGTGAAATAAAAGCAGAAGGTTTCAATTGGTGAACTCCCACTGGAGGTGATCGCACATTTTGGAGAAAACCAGCGCCTGTGCTGTCCGATGACGTCGGTGAAGTCAGGTTACATCTACACACTTTCGCACACTACTTACATACACCTCACTTACCACCTGACTGAAACCCCGTGGTTAACCCTACCTCCGGAACTCGGTAAGTTGTGTTTGCTTGTTAGCCCTTAGTTGAGAATTATCCATAGGCCATTGGGCCCGAACCCTCTGTTGCTCGTCGAGGAGGCTACTATGGGCCCTAGCCCAGTCGACTTTTGCCGGGGCAATTGGGGGCCGTAACATTTTCTGGTTGCAGAGCGTCGTTGATTGTTTCTCCAATCACGCCCAGCCGTAATAAAAAAATGGATATTTTTTGTGTTTTATTAGCGGGTTGATTTAGAACCACGCCCGTTAGGCTGCGCAAGCGGGAGTGTAGTTTAGGATTAGGTACCTACGCGTCAGGTATTTCGGGTAGGTAGATTGAATTGCCGAAGGGTCGGTCTCCTGAGCGAGGCATCTTTGTTGACCGACTGTGTAATTTGTATTTAACTTAATTTAATAGTAATTGTATTTGTTATTTGTTAATTTAATTTGTATTTGTGCCGTGTAGTGTAATTTGTATTTAATTCAATTTAATAGTAATTTGTATTTAGTAGTGATGCCATCGCACAAGCTACCGGCGCTTCGCCTGCAGGCGGAGCTGCGCTGGGCCGCTAACGTCCATACCTTGATAGGGCGACCCGATCGGGTCCATAGTTTAGGGAAGCGGCACGATTAGGTCGCGGCCCGAAGGGCCGTAGTGGAGGAGGCTTGCACAGAGCTTTTGGCCTCGGATGCGGCCTGCTCCTATTGTCGAGCATCCGATCACAGGGTGACGTCGTGCCCGAAGTTATTAGGTAAGCCGGTCCCGGCAAGGCAAACTATCGCCAGGGAGCGTCGCTGGTGCTACTCGTGCTTGGAAAGGCACCTCCAACGAGACTGCCCGCACCAGCGGCCCTGTCCGCACTACCAGGGCAACCACCATGCCGTTTTGTGCTTGGGTGCGAACGGCGGTTCCTCTCGGGGCTCTGCCCGGTCCTCGACTCCCACGGGCGGGGGCGCTCAGCCACGCCCTCTGTCGGGCGACGCTCGGCGCTCGCCTGCCGGCCACCGTGCTCCTGAGTTTGAAAGGGGTCCCTCTCCCGACCAGTCGGGGGGTCGTTCCCCCAGGGGCGGGGGGGGGGGGGGTCGTCGCCCCCCTCAGCGTGTTGAGAGGAACTTCACGGCCACTCAGCGGTCAGCTAGGCCCTTCTCACCCCCGTTAGCTGAGTGGCCGCGACTGGAGTACCCCCCACCCCCCTTTGGTCGGTACCGGTACTACGGGGTTCCTGCGACCTCGAATCAGCCCCGGTTCGAGAGCCGGTCCGATGGATGCAGCCCCAGCTAGGTAGCTGCCGCCCTAGCTCCCACCACGGCCGCTTCCACTGATCTTCTAAGCCGTCAACAGTCCACTTGTCAAACTGTTCTATTGCCGACGGCCTCAGTAAAGGTGTACAACCCCAGTGGCGACTGTTTAACGGTTCGCGCTCTATTGGATTCGGGTTCACAACGCTGTGTGGCCTCCACTTGGTTGGTGGGAAGACTGGAGCTCCCCTGGAGCGTTGAATTACGCTGTCAAAGAGTTAGCTTTGGTTTTGGTCGAGCACTTAATTTTAAAAAAAATGCTTTGGTTTTTCCGCGAAATGTTTCGTAGTTGTAGTGGTTGTGAGTAAAAGGGTGAATTTGATATACTCTTTGAATATGAGTATATATGTTTGTAAATATATTTAATCATTATGTTTGCTTTATTGAAAAGAATATTGAAATGGAGTAACACTATTTGTGCCAAAGGAAATAAGAATCACTCCTCTCTTTGTTTTCACATTTTTGTTGGCGTTGTCGAAGATATTTATTTTGGAAAGAGGAATATGGCTGTCTCTTATGTTTATCGTTTGCTTAAGTTTTGATCTATGCGCATCAAGAAATAAATTTATTACAATTTATTTTCAAGTTTTACATGGTGGTTTGAGTGTTGATGCTTTTGAAACTTGGTTGAAATATAAGCATAGAACTACATGTTTAAAAGAAAAGCTGGCTAGTTAAGATGTTATGAGATTGAAATCAGCTACTGCGCAATTAAAGAAGTGGTTATATAGTGGATGGCTTGATTATGTCTACTTGCGTGAACTAAATCATGCTAAGGCCTATCTGTGCATTTTCGTGTGTCTCTCCACTAAGGCCGTTCACTTAGAATTGGTAAGTGCCCTCAGCACTGAAGCCTTTGTGGCCACGCTGGGCCGCTTCGTATCGCTTCGCGGTTTGCCGGACCTGATCCGGTCTGATTGCGGAACGAATTATAAGGGCACGGATAAGATGTTTGAAAGAGGTCGTCGAATTTCTGTCCAGCAACAGGACTTATTTAGGTACTGCGATGTATAAGAAGGGCATCCAGTGGAAATTCGACCCCCCGGCTTGCCCACACTGGGCCGGTATTTTTGAGGCGGTGGTTAAGGTTGCAAAAACGCATCTCTTTGGCGTCGTGTGCGCATTGTTAAGTTGTCGTATGGATCGGATGAAGTGCCTAAGATGGCCGAGGTTTTGGTTGGAGATTCGGTCTTGCAACGCGCCGTCGCGGCTCTAGGTCATATATTATTTTTATTATATATAAATGACTTACCGAGAGTGACTAAACATCAAGCATAATGTTTTCTGATGACATTTCCATTATTGTTTAATCTAATTATAATGACAATTTAAATAGTTATGAAAATGACATTAATAACACAATTAATAATATAGTTCAATATCTTAAATCAATTAATCTAAATTTAAATTTGAATAAGATCAATTTCATTTGGTCTGGTTCTGTGGGGCAACAGCATTAAAGTAAATAGAGTTCTCATCGCACAAGAAAAAATGTATATGTGCTATATGCGGTAAAGGTCCATTTGATACATGCAAGTCCCTATTCATTAAGCTGGGTATATTAACAGTCCCTGGCATGTACATATTGGAAATATATAAATTTGTCAAACAACATGCAGAGTTATTTAAGTCAGCTTGTGATATATATCCACGAAGCACTAGAGATAATAAACGGCTTTTCTTAAACCATAAACCAAATACTTCTGTCTATCAGAAAGGTTGTTACTGCATGTGTGTAAAAATATTTAATAAAATTCCAAAGCAGTTCAAGCACGGCTCTATGACTCTCATGACCAAAAAGTTACGTGAATGGCTAATAAAAAAAAATGTTATTATAGTGTTAAAGAATTTCAAAATGATAATAATATGCATGTTGACATATGATGTACGTAATTGCTGTGTATCACTGCGTATTACTATTTTATCTGACCTTTAATTAATTATTGAATGTATTTAAATTTTAATTATGACAAGTTGAATTATATAACTTACATTTAATAAGTTGACAATTTAGAATCTATTACCACCTATATTATTGGCAATTTAAAACAAAAGTTTGCATGTCGTATCTCATGGCTAAATAGGTCTTTAAGCAACTATTTATATTGTAAAAACCTATCACTTACCCTATTTATGGCAAATGAATAAATTTGAATTTGAATAGATATATGAAAAAAGAAGAGTAAGAAATTTCTATTAATCGGCTATGTCGAACTCAGATTTCAAAAGAGGAAGAAGAAGCTAAAATACGTGAGTACTTGCTTACTTGCTCCAACATCTACTTTGGATTGCTCCCTTTGGAAGTCAGAAAGTTTGGCATGCCAGTGTGCTGTTATGATTGAAGCGAAAAATGTACCTTCATCATGGCATAAAAATGAATTTAGCTGGACCTGATTGGTTCAAAAACTTTATGACAAAAAACATAAGACTGTCTCTGAGAATGCCTGAAGCTACATTTCTAAGCCGCGCAACATCCTTTAATAAAACCCAACGTTCAGGACTTTTTTTAGGAAGCTTACAGATTTTATGGATAGATATCAATTTACATCATCACGAATATATAATATCGATGGGACTGGAGTGACTACAGTCCACAATGCTAAGATAATTATTGTGGCTCCACGAATGTCGTGTCGGATTACCGTCTCATCGGACTAAGAGAGTGAGAAAATAGGGAGTGCACCTGTGTTCACGCACACGTTCGCACTGTGGGCACTATAATCCTGTCCAGCGCAGATGGCTAGTCTCCTTTTAGACTGACCGCCGAAAGCGAACTAGCTGCTACCCGCGACTTCGTCCGCGTTGCTTGTTATTTCAAGAAAACATCACTGAACACGTAGTGCTTATAAACAATCGTTGTTTCTTAAAACTTTAATAACTTTATATTAAATGAAGATATCGCAATAATCTTTATAAAAGCAGTGTCTAAGAAATAAAACTTAGAAAACCTAATTGAAATCTATCCAGTAGTTTTTCCGTGATGCGCGCACGACTGCAAATCTTTATCATTTTATTTATATAGATACGCTATTGCCTTGTTAGTTTAACGAAAAATCATGCGATGGTTTAACAATAATAATTGTAATGTCATTTGATAACGATATATCAAATTACGTATTGCCAACAGATCTTTGATCTACTTTATTTTGTTTTTGCTATCAGTAATTTTTATTAATATTTAATCTACATGCGTACGGCCTTGACATATATTATGCTTGCTCTACAATTTGCGGGTTGGAGATTTGCGATATGTTATTAGAGAATTTTAAATCTACAAAATATAGACCTTGTTCATATATTCTTTTTATTCGTGGTGCTGCAAAATGCCACCTGGCAGCGTCGTATTCAGTGGAGAGACGTGCTAAGAGGCTCATTTGGTGACCTTGATTTGGTTGAAACCAATCTTATCAGCCTCGAGCACAGGCGCAGAGTAGCCAGTCTCTCGGTATTCTATAGGATGCATTTCGGTGAGTGTGCGCAGGAATTACACGCTATAATTCCTCCCTCTAATTTCCACCATCGGACAACCAGACGGTCGGCGGGTCTTCACACCATTGTTGTCGATACTCTACGTATTAGAACCAAACGGTTTGCTTCGTCTTTTGTAATGCGTACAGCAAAGGAGTGGAATAATTTGCCGGCGTCTATCTTTCCGTCCGAATACAATTTGGGCGTCTTCAAGGCAAGAGTGAATAGGCTTTTGTTACGCTAAGACAGTGCGATTTACCATCTAGGGCTGCATCACCACTGACCACCAGGTGGGATTGTGGTCAAGCACTGACTTATACATACATACATACATAAACACTCACGCCTGTCACCCAGAGGGGTAGGCAGAGACTACGGACTTCCATTTGGCGCGATCCTGACACACCTCTCTCGCCTCTTTCACATCCATATATCTACGCATACACGCTCGTCGGTTAAGGGTACTCCTAATCTGGCCCATTTTCAATGTATCGCCGATCTGGTCGATAAACCTTCGTCTAGGGCGTCCCTTCCCGACCCTGCCGTTCACTTCTGCAACATAAATTTGCTTTGTCACTCTTTCCTCGTTCATTCTTTCTACGTGACCAAACCACCGAAGCATTCCTTTCTTAATCCTTGTCACAACGTCATCTTGCAAACCACACTTTTCTCTTATTACACTATTTCTCACCCTGTCATTCAGATTCAGCCCTAGCATACTCATATAATTATACATAATTATACTGACTTATAATAAGTTTATTAAAGTCCCACTGCTAGGCACAGGCCTCCTCTCATTTACGGGAGGGTTATGTATATATTTAGGCACCAACAAGATATAATCTTTACAAATTGTAATAAAAACACAATCTCAGAACGAAATATGCAAACGAGCATTATCTTAATTATAGGTAACCATGGCTAGGTAACAATAACAAGTAGACAACTGAAACACAAAAATTATATATTATTCTTCTTCTTCAATGTGTTTCTTGTATTTCATACAACTAAAAATATATAATTAAAAATTTAGTACAATCGACTTCAATATAAATTATTAAGAATTACTCAAAAACTATTGGTCAGACCTTGATCAAATTTATATGGGACTACATGTGAAGCACCAGCTTTCAAATAAAAAAAGATTCGTCGAAATCGGTTCACCCAGTAAAAAGTTATGAGGTAACACACAAAAAACACAGTTGAATTGAGTACATGAGAAAAAGGAGAATCATGAGTAAAGGGTACCAATCAGACAAGCTAGAGATTATCTTCTATAGTAAATCACTATGACTTAATAAATTATGAATATTTAATTTTATAGATAAGACGATATTTTTTGCTTAAATTAGAAGGATTATGTAGAATTTTCTTCGCCGCACTACTCCAATGCGTGTGGAATGACTTCAAGTCTTCGAAATATTTTATTCTTTGGACATGCAAGTTTATCATGGTTTATCTTTTACCGCCAAACACTTGGTAAAATCAGCAATTGCATCAAAATTGCAAATTGAAAATGTCATTGCTGCCGGTGGGGATCTAACCAGGGTTGCTCCTGTACTCTGAAATTTACAGCGAGCGCTAGGGCCTATGAGCTACGACTTGAATCGTGAGAAAGCTAACATAATAATTACAGACTGTAATGCATTCTAACTTAGGTGTGACAACGTGGGGAGGAGTAGTCCCATCCCAAGATGGGACATCCATGGAACAGTCGGCGCCGCGCCGGTAGCCACGGATGTGTGCGAAATCGTTCCGGAACCCTACCAATATACGGCGAGGGTGTAACACCATGGGGTTTTAGTTGGTGCGAGTCATATCCCGTCCTTGCCACCTGGTGATTACATACTCAAGCTTTCAACTTACGTTGCAACTCAAAACTAAAGACTGATGCAGTTACTCCAATTGGTTGTCATTTATTATAATCTATTCCATGCTTTAGATACCTTATAGGCGATATGGAGAAATCCCAACGTCCGAAGATGGAGTAAAGACAGGCCGGTATGAAGAACACCGAATAGGAGTCCAGCCCATGGTCGAAGAGCTCCCCGAGCGGGCCGGAGGTCTGCGTCCTCCGCGCTTGTTTGCCATCGATACCATCTGAAACATATTGTAAAATTTTAAATGAAATAATAATAATCTTTATTAAAACTTATATAGGTTACAAACAAATTGTTGCACTGATTCCTAAACTAGGATTAATCCTGTATCTTAGGATATCAGTACCTTCCCATACAATTTTACAATATTAAATTTTAACGCAGACTTTTATAATAGATTTTTTTTAAATAAAACTAAGTTATTCCTCTTATACCGTGTGTGTGTGTGTGCGTGCGTGCGTGCGTGCGTGCGTGCGTGCGTGTGTGTGTGTGTGTGCGTGCGTGCGTGCGTGCGTGTGTGTGTGTGAGTGCGTGCGTGCGTGCGTGCGTGAGTGCGTGCGTGCGTGCGTGCGTGCGTGCGTGCGTGCGTGCGTGCGTGCGTGTGCACGTTACCTATTAGCTTATACGTTAACACTAAGAAGTTTTTCACAAGCATAGTAGTCGAATTCTTTTAGCCAATCTAGCAAAACGATTTTTAATTTAAAGTTGCTTAGCTTCTGTATAACTTTTGTTTTGTTCAATATATTATATAGCCGAGGCGCAAGATATTCGTAATGCTTTCTTGCTATCGAGCTTTTTTTCCTGTTAGTAGCAGGGTACTTTGCAGTTCTTTTGTTCTTGACATTTGTGTGTGGTACAGATAAACGATGATACCGTCTGATAATAATAAGTTACCCAGCAATATTGTATAATTTAATTAATGAATAATAATAATAATCAATCGTATTGCTAAGCATTAGAGAAATGCCTGACTGGTACCTAACTTGTGACAGACTGGTGCCTGATGTCAGAACAAAATAAATCAGTAATTTATTATATTATAACTAGCGATGCACCCCGGCTTCGCACGGGTAAAAATATTTCTCTCTATCTGTTCGTAGTGAGGTGGTGGATATTAGCGATAATCCAGATTACAATCGAAAATAATTAAAACTGCAGTTGCCAACCCGCCTGCCCAGCGATCTATGGGGGACTATGTTCAGCAGTGGACTTTTGATAGATTGTTATAAATGAATAGAAAGCATCGGTAAAGGTTACATTATGCTGTGAAAGTTAATTGACTATCAATGATGATCAAAGAGTGTTTTTTTTTAAATTTAGAATTAGCTGTTACCCGTGGCTGCGCCCACATGTAATTTAGGGTTTTAATAAGTAGCCTTATTTACTCCTTATAACATCTATCTGCCAGTGAAAGTCCCGTCGAAATCGGTCCGGCCGTTTCAGAGATTAGCGGTAACAAACAAATAGACAGACAGACAAAAATTTTAAAAATTGTGTTTTTGTTATATATACCATTTGAACTTTCATATGCATTTAGTAAAAAGCTGTTATTTTGACATTACAAACAGACACTTTAATTTTATTTATTTGTTTGTATGTATGTATGTATAGATAAGGGTGAACACACAGTCCACCTGATGGTAAATGGATGCTGTGGCTCGATTAAGAATCAAAATGCAGAATGCCTCTTTTCCAGTAAAAAGGGTCTCCGGTTCTTTACACTCACCACACGAAACACAGCAGCATTAAGCTGCTATTTCACGCTGGTATTCTGTGAGAGCGTGGCCCTAACCCGGTCGAGCCGACCCATTCGTGCCACAACTAACAATGTGAATAGTATTTTATTACACAATGAAGTGTCGAAGAAGAAACACGCAGCGTAATTTTGAAGAAGTAACAGTAAGCCCTTCTAACATAGTAGAGGTCTTTGTCACAGTAGACTGTTTACAGAGTAAATAAGAAGACGAGAGATCGCAACTCCGCACAATAAAAATGCGATAGCGAGATCTGTCAGAGGCCACGAGCTTATTTTGAGACGACTTATTTGCGTGTTGGTTTTTTTTGCAAGTAGCTTCATGTTATTTATATACAATTTATTACTAGTTCATTTTACGTAACCAAGTATCTGTTCTGACTTAAGAAGCCGTTTTACTGCGGTTAGACAGACGTCATACATAATATGTAAATAGGTTTACATTTTACTAGAAGCTATAAGAGACACCGCACACTGCAGACTTTCTGTCGGGCGACAGTTGTGTGACAAGTGCGCATGCATACCCTTCAAACTAAATTGTTTGTCAACTATCGGCCAACTGCTAAATCAGTACGGCGCTCTTCGACGCGCGCATACACGCCCATTGTTTAGTCGGCTGACTCGCTCGATAATGTCACTGCTCAAAATTTTGGTGCTGAAAAGACGTGCGTATGCATCAAAATGGCGCTGCTTGTTGAATCATCTATTTTACAGTAGATAGAGGACGTTGTAATATGATGTAAATTTAAAGAAAAAGCTGGGGGAGCAAGTAATCTGTCACTGTGTATAGGATGCACCCAGTATTCTCGTTTTCTCTTCTTTGTATAATAGCAATAATAATAACATTTCTGGACGATATTTTAGATTTCATTACAGCTAATGTATTCATAAAATTTTAATCCTACTTTGTCAAAAAGTGTTACCAACTCGTGAATTTCCAAATATACAAAAAAAATCAAAAAATTCGAAAAATTCATGATTTTTTTAAAATATCAGCATGATTTGATTAAAATAAAAAAATCGTGATTTTTTCCATCCCTGTTTACTGGAAGTCCAACGAGCAAATTATAATCTATACATGTAAATATAATTGAAGTGTCTGTTTGGAATATTGAAATAACTGGTCTCCACAGAGTTATTTGTATGCTAACACATATTTTAAAAATTTGTCTGTATGTCAGTTTGTCTGTACGGATTAATCGTCGGAATGGCTAAACCGATTGTGATGAAACTTTACAAAACGATAGAGTGTAATGCCAGGAAGGATATAGGGTATATTTTCAACCGACTTCAAAAAGGAGGAGCAGGTACTCAATTCGACTATGTTTTTTTTATGTGTTTTACCTCAAAACTATTTCTCGGCGAACCGATTTTGATGATTCTTATTTTATTTCAAAGCTGGTGCTTCTCATGTGGTCCCATATAAATTTGATCAAGGTCTGACCTGTAGTTTTTGAGTTATCCTTAATAATTTATATTGCAGTGGGTTGTACAATTTTTTTTATTTTACCACTTATATTCAAAGAACTTAAATATATGTTTTTGAAAAAAAAAAGAACGAAAAATTAATTGAATATGTGGTTTTGATTATCTTAAATATAAATTTAATAAAACCCTCATGAATAGATCCTATACCTACTGCCGAAGCCGAGGCGGGGACGCTAGTTATAAATAAGAATCACAAGTGCAGTGATAGATTACTAACTAATAAAATGAGACGTAAGCTTCAATTATGCGCTATATTGTTTTTGCTATGGCGTGAGCGCGGAGCAGGAAGAATTTCAAATTAATGAAATTCATACACATGTGAACTTTAATACTTGACAATAAATTCGGTTTTCGAATCACAAATACTGTTCAAAAGGTCCTAAAACTATCTTACTTGCTATAGAAATAAAACTTTTTATGACGGGAATTAAGTTTAAAAATGCATTGCAATAAAAAATGCCTGCTCCGTGCTTTAGCGTAGTAATCGAGTCTCCGAAATACCATTAACCTGTGGCGGCGCTGTCGTTGCGCCACAAGCGAAACACATCGAAGTCTAAATCGCGCTAACAAAGTTCCGAAGTTAAAGCAGTATATATATAGCTCCGAACTACCACTCGGAGCGTTAGCCGCTCCCCGGGCAGCACACCTTGCCCGGCGGGAGATCTCCCCTTTTCCTTCCAACAGCTACATTGGTGACCCCGACGTGTTATGAACACGCAACTAACAACCTTCGGACACTACAACTTTAAAACCTTCGTCATCGTCCTCAAGTACCCCATTCATTCGCTAATTGTATTCGTACAGATATTGTCTGCAGTCTTCCCATTCTGCAAGCCATCTAGCTTTACAAAGGTTCATCGCAGCACTAGAATAATAATGCTTCCTGTTCCTTCAAGCTACTCTCTGTGCTACAGAGTTCGCCACGGCTCTGAGCTTGACTGCTTGCCTCTGCTTTACGGCACTCTCGCAGATCACTTTGCCTTCTTTTCGACTCACCGCAGACTACAAGGCAATACCTGGCACTTGCTCCGGCTCATCGTTCTCACTGGCATCACTTGCAAATGCGTAGTACGGCATGCATTACACACCGGCATATCGTTCGTACCGGCGTCACTTGCCCTTACGCACACAGCAGGCATTCCCCACCGACATTAAGGACGCACCGGCAATCAGACTGCACTATTGATCTCCGGTCTGAGCAGAGGGGTGATGTGGCGGCGCTGTCGTTGCGCCGCAAGCGAAACACATCGAAGCCTAAATCGCGCTAACAAAGTTCCGAAGTTAAAGCAGTATATATAGAATAGCTCCAAACTACCACTCGGAGCGTTGGCCGCTCCCCGGGCAGCACACCTTGCCCGGCGGGAGATCTGCCCTTTTCCTTCCACCGGATACAAACCCTTTTCATCACTATCAGATCAAAGATATCTTATTGCCCTATTTCTCATTCCTATCTTTCCTTAACTAATTGCTGTACATCCATTAATCGAGGACAAGGTGGTTCTGAAATGTTTTGGGCAATTGCGATCTAAGATAAAAAAAAACACTGCGTATGAGAAACCTGCTCGTGTCTTGGGATAAATATTATATAATATATCGTAAGAAGCGTTTTTCAAGCTATCAGTTGTCATCTTTAATGCAAAATAAAACCGACCAAGTACGATAAACGGTACAAATACGGTCAATAACCAAATAGCTTATTAAAAAAAATCGTTTTTGGTTATAGCTTACTAACTACATTATAAATGATGTTCTCAGTATTTGTTGTTTAATTACAGTATTAATTTTTTTATTTTATACAAATACGGTCAATAACCAAAGAGCTTATTTAAAAAAAATCGTTTTTGGTTATAGCTTACTAACTACATTATAAATGATGTTCTCAGTATTTGTTGTTTAATTACAGTATTATTTTTTTTATTTTATACAAATACGGTCAATAACCAAATAGCTTATTTAAAAAAAATCGTTTTTGGTTATAGCTTACTAACTACATTATAAATGATGTTCTCAGTATTTGTTGTTTAATTACAGTATTATTTTTTTATTTTATACAAATACGGTCAATAACCAAATAGCTTATTTAAAAAAAATCGTTTTTGGTTATAGCTTACTAACTACATTATAAATGATGTTCTCAGTATTTGTTGTTTAATTACAGTATTATTTTTTTTATTTTATACAAATACGGTCAATAACCAAATAGCTTATTTAAAAAAAATCGTTTTTGGTTATAGCTTACTAACTACATTATAAATGATGTTCTCAGTATTTGTTGTTTAATTACAGTATTATTTTTTTTATTTTATACAAATACGGTCAATAACCAAATAGCTTATTTAAAAAAAATCGTTTTTGGTTATAGCTTACTAACTACATTATAAATGATGTTCTCAGTATTTGTTGTTTAATTACATTATTATTTTTTTTATTTTATAACAATATAAATACATAATATACACAATTTACAAGTACATTGCATCGTAAACCTATATAAGATATGTTACATAATATACAGAAATTTCAAATTCCTTACTAGTTTGATTTTTGGCATAGACCCCGTAGCTAAACGATCTAAAAATATCAACTTTTCCAGTCCCCATTTCTTTATTTATATAGATAAAAAAGAATAAAAAAATATTTGTACTTTACTAAGACTAATTTAAAGAAGAAGAATAATTTAAAATTAAAAACTTTGTACAGCCGACTTCAATATAAGTTATTAAGAATAACTCAAAAACTATTGGTCTGACCTTGGTCAAATTCATATCGGACCACACGAGAACTATCAGATATCATATAAAAAAGAAATCATCGAAATCGGTTCACCCAGTAAAAAGTTATGAGTAACATACATAAAAAAATAGATAGTCGAATTGAGTGCCGTCTCCTTTTTGGAAGTCGGCAGAAAATATTAATATTAGCATTATTTAAAAATTCAATATTCGGTCTTAGGTCAACATTCTATACCAAATATCCAAATGAAAGGCCTAGAACTCATTCCGTCTATGACATAGAGATCCATATCATACGGAAGGTCAGGCGGACTTGATAATGAGACAGCAAATTGATATTAATAGCGTTCCGTTTTAACTATTGGCTATGCAACTCTAAAGTCATTGAAAAACAACTACTTATAGATGAACAATCCATCTACAAACGTAACAACGTTCAGTGCAACTCTTTTAAGCTTTTGGGTTTCAGTAAGTTTTATATAACATCAGTAACAAATAAATAAATATATAAAACGTTTACGTGGTAGAGCCATGCTGCAGCTATATTAGTAGTTTAGTTGTAGCACGAATGGGTCGGCTCGACCGGGGAGGGACCACGCTCTCACACAATACCAGCGTAAAATAGCACTTTAATTTGCTTCCTTTTAATTGCTATGTTTCATATGGTGAGTGTAGAGAACCGGATACCCTTTGTACTGGAAAAGAGGCATTCCATCTTAGTCCTCACGGGTGACAATGCATCTGCATTTTGATTCGCAAACGAAGATAGATGTAGATGTTTATGGGCCACAGCAACCACTTACCATCAGGTGGACTGTGTGCTCGTTTGTCACCCTTATTCTATAAAAAAAAAACACACTGCAAAATTATTTATACGTAAAAGTTATACCTTATCAAAATAAACATTTATTATCTCACTGTCTGCATCAAGTTTATCTATGTACGTATTTTTATCTGGACGCATATTATGTAGGCTATCATCGAAGCAGCAAAAATAAACCTTGAGCTGCGCTAAATAGTTCATCGGACACACTTGATTTTATAAAATAATATTGCGAGTATGTATTTTGTTTGTTATATTATCTATACATCTATACAAATAAATAAAATTGAAGTGTCTGTTTGTAATGTCAAAATAACAGCTTTTTACTAAATGTATATGAAAGTGTATACGGTAATTATAACAAAAACACAATTTATAAAAATTTTGTCTGTCTGTCTGTCTATCTTTTTGTCTGTCCGTCTATTTGTTCCGGCTAATCTCCGAAACGGCTGGACCGATTTCGACGGGACTCTCACTGGTAGATAGCTGATGTTATAGGGACTAATACTTTTATTTTAGAAAAAGAATTAGGGTTCCGCGCAACATAATTAAAACCCTAAATTACACGCGGGCGAAGTCGCGGGGAACAGCTAGTTTATACATATAAATAAAATTTAAGTGTCTGCCTGTAATATCGAAATATCTGCCATAATATATTGAACTGAGAGCGTTATTGGCATGCTTTTAAGACATGAATAACCATTTACTTAAATCGTGTCTGTTTGTCTGTCCGGGCTAATCTTCGGAATAGTTGAACCTATTGTTACTAATTTTTTTCTAAAAACTTGGTAATTTAAAAAAAAACGAAGTAATAAAAAAATGGTCTTTGATTATCTTAAATCTACTATCGCCACATTAATAGATCCTATTATAGATCCATATATATATATATATATATATATATATATATATATATATATATATATATATATATATATATAATATAATAGAGAATCTGGCTTAATCGTCAAGTTGGGTTAGCAATCAAATAGAATAAATTTTATTCAATATAAATTACGAGAACAGTCATGGAAAATCATAATTTGTTCGTTTAGCACTAGTTCGGGAAGAACTGAGTTTATTTCCGAAGCAGGAAGCTTCTTCCCAGGAAGCAAGAACCCGGCGGGATTTTTTTAAAACATTAATTTATAATATAGTATAATTGTACAATTAAATATGAAAACATTTCGAAACAGCATGGTAGCGATCACCTTATTCATAGGGGTTATTAAAATCATGTATTCATTACTAGTATAATAACCCGATCGGTCGGTAGTTAAACGCAATAAAATCCGTAAGATTAGATTTATTTCAAATCTAAGGTTTTTGTCGTGTTTTTGAAATCTGAGGTCTAGAACATGTTAAGAGTTACCATCGTTACCCATACCGTTATAGTCTATCAAAGTACACAGCAGGAGATAGGCCTCCCCAGTAGGTTACTTCATATGGGAGATATATGCCATAGTTACCACGATTGGCAGACAGGTAGGCGGCAACCGTGTGCACAGTTTTATACATCGATATAAATGTACTACGTACTAGATTGAGCATTCCGAACATACACTCTGTTCGACTGAACTATACTGCAATCCGTACAGTTTGTCAGTGTAGTTCCAATCTACTAGTTAGTCTGTGGTTTCAATATTCATGCAGTGTGGAGCGGCGGTAATAATACAAGTTTTCAAATTAAAGTTTAAAGCTGGACGTAAACAACAATTCAGTAGTCAAGTAAGTAAAATTATTTGTTGTTCAAGTGAATAAATAGGTAATAATATCGTAATATTACAAAAGAAAAAATCATGAAAAAATATATTTCTTTATATAAACTGACCGCGCAGGCGCAACGCGTTTAAATCAACTGCGCATGCGCGAAGACAGAGTAGTTTTTGTTTAGAAAGGCTTCTCTAGTACGTAGTACATAAAACTGAATGGTTTTGTATTTTTAAGTTGTTATTAGGAAGACGCTGTTTCAGTTTCCCTTTGTCACCTCTTACGACACCCACCGGACAATATGGCGTAATAGCTACTCTTACACCGCCACCACGGCTCTCTGAAAAGCAATACATTGTGATTGAACCAATACTTACCTAAAGTATACGCGAGAAACAGGAACGCAGCCAGCAAGTACCACAGCCGCTGCGGTATGACCTCAGGGTGACCGTTCAGGGGCTGGTCGGCGATGGTCACGTTCCGCACAGCGGCGCTCGCAGCCGTGTAGTCATAGTCGTAGTACGAGAGTAGCACGAAGTCGAACACGGTCAGGAGGAAGCCGGCAAATGTGAGGACGTTTGGAGCAACCCAGCGCGGTACGAACTGCAAGGAAATTTATTTTTGTTAGAACTGTAAATACTTCTATTACTTTTGTGTACCTTTTTAAAGGTGGATCCTTAGATCAACGAAGATCTTGAAAAATCGTGTATCTGTCGTAATATCAAAGTGACAAGCGGTTGTGTGTACAAGTACTGTCGATGAATTGGTACTAATAAATTAAAATAGTGTGTTTCATGTTATAAAAGTACAATAAAGATATGGCGCAGGCTATAGATGTTTAGTGCTAGTGTTTTCTCATTATAATTACGAGTATAAACATAAAATGCAACTTTGAAAATAAATTAATACAGTAAATTACGAACTTTAAAAACTACCTTCATAATTTAATTTTTCTTTTATATTTATGTTCCGGATCTGTCAGTGAAAGCGAACTATAGATAATAGTGTTGTCATTATAAGACAATTACTATTTTAGTAAAAATAAAAAAATAATAACATATACAATGAGTCCAAAAACCTTTAAATGTTCTAAATGTAGCAAAACCTCAAATGATAAGAAGCTCTCAGTAACTTGTGACTCCTGTAAAAGAATTTTTTGTGGTGATTGTCATGGAATGTCACCAACTGAAGTATGAGTGTTGGAGTTAAAGACAATAGCCCGAGTGGTTTCTTTATGTGTCGATTATAAATCACCAATGATGCAAATACCAAATATAATGAAACAAATAGAGGAACTTATTAAAGAAGTACACCACTTGCGATTACATCAAAACATGCTTTTAACTGAAGAAGCAATACAAGAATTGGCTGACCGTACTAAGAGAGCTAATAATATAATAATTTACGACGTACCAGAATCAACCTCGGATAAACCCTTACAAAGGCAGGAGCAAGGAGTGCAGGAAAATAATAATTTGTGTAAGCAAAAATTATCACTGCTCATTAGCTATGATAATGTGAAAGTTTTCCGTCTTGGTGCACGTAGGTATCAAGCTGGGGCTCCTTCTCGCCCCGTTAAAGTGCTAATGAAGTCTAAGAATGATATTATTGAGATACTTCGTAACAAGACTAAACTAGATAAACCGTCAATTATTAAATCAGACATGTCGTGCAATGCGAGTACTTGAAATACCTCCGTGATGAATTAGAGACACGTATCAATAATGGAGAACAAGGCTTGACTATCAAGTATATACAAGGGCAGTCTAAAATTATCTGTAAACAAAGGATAAAAAACTAATTCAAATCCACCGACCCTCACTAGTAAATAATTTTAACAAAAAAACGCGATCTTTGATATCTTCCGCACTCTTAAGAATAACAATCTTATACACAAACATATAATCGATATCATCTAAGCTGGATTTATCAATTATAGTCCTAACGGAAAAATGGCTAAAACTAAATATATAGTAAAGACACCAAAGAGTACGCACTACCAAAGAGTACGCACAGCTTTTAAATGTTACGAAATTTCAACACATGGCAGCACTGCGCTAACTGTCAGTTGACAGTGACGCTTGGAATCAGTAGACACGCTTTCAAGTTGGTGCGGTATTTATTAGTTTGATTATTGCAATTTAAAGGTTTTGAGTACTTTTAATCTTATTTATCAACAATTTCGAAGACGTATTACAAGATTTGCATAAGGGTGCCACCTGAATATGTGAGTTATTCTTGAAATTTGGTTATTATATTTTGCTATTAAGTAAGGTTATAAATGCGATCTTGTTGGAATGATTGTAACTGTCATAACCAATCGAATTAGCGTGAATCTTAAGAGTGCGCACCTAAAGAGTGCGCATGCGCACTCTTAGGTAGTAACTCATGGGGAACAAAGTTGCTTTTTTAATTATTTATCTTTTGTTTTTTTATAGATCGCAAATATGTCAAGTTATAAAAGAAAATCAGATAGAAAATTGGTATTTACTGAAGAAATTTTAAAAGATGCAAAGGAAAGAATACGCCGTGGGCAAAGTCAAAGATCAGTTGCAGAGTCTTTGAATGTCCCAGAATCGACTCTAAGAAAAAGACTAAAAGCAGGCACTGTTCCTTGCTCTTTAGGTAGATTTTCAAATGTATTTACTCCTGAATTAGACAGTAACTTGGCAGAGCACTGCCGACGCTTGGATTTATGTTTTTATGGTCTGACGAAGAAGGAGCTAGGAAGAGTCGCTTATGATTTAGCAAATAAAAACGGACTTAATCATAGATTTAATAATGATAAAAAGGAAGCTAGCAAGAAATGGGTCGAAAACTTTGCCAGGCGGCATAACTTCAGTCTCCGTCAACCTGAAAAAACAAGTTTGGCACGTGCTGCAGGATTCAATCGTGTACAAGTGCAACGATTTTATGATAATTTAAAACAAGTACTTACAACCTTCAAATTTGTTGGCAGACAAATTTTCAACATGGATGAAACTGGCCTCCAGACAGTGCCAAACAAGTTACCTAAAGTTTATGCTAAAAAAGGCAAGAAAATTGTAGGAAAAGTTGTGTCCGCAGAACGTGGACAAACAGTAACGGCTGTTTGTTGTATGGGTGCTACTGGAATATTCGTACCACCTGCATTAATTTTTCCTAGAAAGCGGCAAAAACCCGAATTGATGGATGGAGCTCCAGAGGACTCCCTACAGCTTGTATCCGATTCTGGTTATATGAACTCAGATCTATTTATAATCTGGCTCAATCATTTCATTAAGATGGTCAAGCCATCTAAAGATGAACCTGCTCTTTTGATTTTAGATAATCATTCATCTCATTTAAGTTTACAGACTATTGAATTAGCTAGGGATCATAGAGTTGTTCTTTTGAGCTTAGCACCACACACAAGCCATCGCATGCAGAGTTTGGATACAGGATTTTTTGGACCATTAAAAAAAGCTTATGCAGTTGCATGTGACAATTGGCAAGTTTCAAATCCAGGTCGTGCTATAACTCAATATCAAGTTGCTCGACTATTTGGCACTGCATACCTTAAGGTTGGTTCAATTGACAGAGCCAAGAAATCATTCGAATCTTGTGGCATCTGGCCTTTTAACGATCAGATTTTTTCCGATGAAGATTTTGCTCCTGCAAATGTCACTGACCGTCCCAATCCAACTGCAGAAACTTCAAGTACAGGCGAAGCCCTTAATAGTTCAAATCTAGCTGTTGAATTGCCACTTACAACTACAGAAACTGTTACCCAAGTTGTCTCGTCACCTATACCCGTCAATACTAATATTTCAGCTCCAGTTATAGCATTATCTCAACTCGGAGGAACCGAAACCCTTGAATCAACTGATAATCACCAGGAAGTAATAACAACACCAGAAAATGACGAGCCAACACCATCCAAATCATCTTTTCTTAGACCAGAAGACATCTTACCATTACCAAAGTCAAACATTCAGAAAAAAAGAAACATAAAACGTAAGAAATCAGAAATCCTTACCAGTTCTCCTTATAAAAATCAAATAGAAGCAGAACAAAAAGAAAAAGAAGAAAAGGCCAAGAAGACAAAGAAGACATCAAATAAAAATAAATCTACGACACCAAATAGACCAACACTGCTGGAAACAAGTACGGGTACAGAAGTTGTTCGATGCCCCCTTTGTGCCGAAGTCTACGTAGAACCTCCAGATGAAGACTGGATCCAATGTAGTCAGTGTGGGGCTTGGTGGCACGATGAGTGCTCTGACTATCTAGGATTCGGAGTTTTTAAGTGTGACGTTTGCCTTGGTTAAAGTAGATGTTTCACCATGGACAAAGCTTCCATTACCCTCATGCGTACTCTTAACTAGTACTAAGAGCCATGGATGCGCACTCTTTAAGTCATTGTACCTTAAGAGTGCGCGTGAGACACGTCCTTGTTTTTATTAATTACTAAATATTAATGTATGTTGATTAATAATAAGAGTAAAAAAAAAGTGTTCCTAAAGAACCAAAGCCTAATTATAAGTAAAATTTAAGACTTAACTCAAAAGTTGATTATTTTAAAAATAAATCTGTCAAAACTGCGCACTCTTTGGTATCTTTACCCTACCTGACTCACTGATAAAAATACGACTTATACAGAGACGACAGTACTGATAAACGAAGTGGAGGAATCACTATTTTTGTATTGAACAATATTACCTACATGACATCAAAGCGAAATAATCAGTATAACACAAAGTATGACTCTTGGGAATATTTATGGGTAGACATTGAAGTAGGTTCTCAAAGAATAATGTTATAGAGGCACGAATCAACCATCGATCATGACAACTTGCCTTTACAAGATTTAGGCCTGGCTTCCCAATCGAACACAGTAACAATAATGGGTGATTTTAACTTTGGTGGAGTCAAGTGGCCACTTCCAAATTGTGGGTATCTATCTACTGCCAATAGAAACCAATTTCTTGCAATGGTATAACAACAGCAATCAATAGGTACTATACATTTATCTACATATTGGTAGATCAATGTATGGGGTTTCGCCAGGGTCACCAGCCATCTACTTTAGACCTAATCTTGACAAATGATGAGTCTTTGATAGTTGGTATCAGTTATGAGGCCTCAATTGGGAAAAGCGATCATGCATGTTTAGTATTTAGTTACAAACAATAACATAATGGGCAGCAGTCGAAACCTAAAAAGAATTTTAATGAAAGGAGATTACAACAAAATCAAAGAAGAACTTCACGCCGATTAAAAAAAGATTTACATTGTCCAGTTCAACAGTTTAGAATAATGCATAAAACAATAACTAATGCCATAGACACACATGTTCCTCTTGTAAAACACTTAATAAAGTAAATAAACCATGGATAAAGAATGACATATCTGGGTTAATAAGAGAAAAAAAAAACTTTAGAAGTGATATACCGTAACAGGGTCAGATAAAATCTATAAGGAATACAGGAAGCTAAATAAAAAACTGATAGATTTAGGGCGTACGGTATGGGCAGTTTACGAGAATCAACTATAAGAACTAGGACCAAAGAAATTTTACGCGTACATCAGGCAGCAAATCACCTCAAAAGTTAGTACACCAAAAAATTCCTGCTTTAGACCCA